TTAGTCATAAAAAAACACGAGTTTTCTGTCTTCATATGGTTACTCAATGTCGTTTTATGCAAACATAATGTTAAATATATATATCAATGTTTTATCCTGCCAAATATGTGATTATAATATATTTATGCCATTTTAAATATTGATTTTTATACGTGAGTTTCTATAACAAGATTTTATTTGCTTATTTATTAACAATTGAACATAGTGACCATGTAATCAGAAAAAGAACTATTTTTCTGGAGTAGTTTAATTTTTTCTCGACAGCGTATCTCTTTCCGTTTCCCTTATCATTGTATTATACAGTAATTTGGCCTTTGGTCGCCGTCGTCGCCACCGCTCGATTTTCTCTCTTTGGTGCGGAGCGATAACCGGCTGCGTATCTTTGACCTGATGACTGCGTGGTTCCTATAACGCCTATATAACTATTATCGAAAACAGTTTTACCACTCTTCATCGTTGTACTATTGCATGTTTCAAAAAAACAGCTGCCGCTTACGCTATTCGACTGTTGTATACAAACGTAAATAATTTATGTTAAATCCTGTTTAAATATACTCTAAGGTGGACTACGCTATGCTATTCACAAATTCTAATTATAACGAGCCTTATTTTTTTCGAAATTCGCATATCACCTATACAATACATAATGCAGGTAAGTACTCATATTAATATTTTGTTATAAAATATGCACTTCAATAGAACTTTGACTTATAATCAACTATATAAAATAAAGGTATAATTATTGATAAGTATCGGGCGCGAGCAAAGAAAGATCGTTTTTTAAATTAATTTAACACACATAAATCGTCTATAAAATATAAAAGTGCATATCTACATTGACTGGTACTGTCATTGTTACGCAGTTCGCCAAGTGTGCATTGATAATATATACATACATATACTTGTATTCAAGTACGTGATCGCAGATAAATATAGTAGTGTTACGTGCAATTTAATTAGTGGTATCACCTCACCACCATTGATAATATTACATACGTCGTCAAACAACTTACAATTTTAATATAATCATAATTCACTTAAAAATTAAAATATGAAAAAAAACTTACTGGAGTCTATGATTTCTATTTTAAATTTTAAATTTGATAATAATGTAGGTAAATTCACTCTAAACAGAACTAAATGGAGTTTTCAGAACATAAAATTTGTTATTTTATACGTATGGATGACCAATAACAATGTATGCGGGTGTACTATGCTCTTAAATATAATAATAAAATAAAATTAACTTCAAAACACAACATAATGACTAATCTTATTGCAAATTAATAATAATATTGAAATTTAATTAATGGCTTCAAAATTTCTCAGATAGCGGATTGATAAAATTGTTTTCTTTATTATAAACTATACTCACAACCGCATATTATAACCATTATGGTAACTAGTATTATAGGTCGTATAGATTCTTCGATCACCGTGTATAATGTATATATATATATAGGGATATTCTACCCACCCATGTGTGAATATATTATCTATGCGGATACGTTGTTTCGCAATAGTATAACATTATATTTTGAATTCAGGAAAAAAACCGACTGTCTTTGTAATCGTCACAGCCCGCTACAGTGATGACAAAATAATAATGCCTTTTATACATTATGTTAAGTAAATTCGCGTTGTACCATGTGAGTGCATGCGCGTGTGTCGTTCGCTTCGACTTAAACGTGTTTTTGCATTTTTAGGCTACTCGCATTACCATAATATAATGACAATGATTTTGTATTGTATATGGTCTTACAACGATCGCAATAATATTAAATTCGACGTTGCATCGTGTATATATATATTACATGAATGTGTGTGTGTGTGTGTGTGTATATTCTATGATATGATATTACGACGGTCGCTTTATATTTATGGGTGTAGCTGCTTTCCGCTAAAATTGACCTTGTTGTTCACTGCCTGATCCGTTTATATGATATATATACTTATCCATTTTCCACCGAAATGAAAATTTCAATTTTTCATCTTCATAGAACTATGGTTATTATAAGAATTGAAATAAAATTGTATTATTATGCTATTTTAGAGTTAATATTCAAAAACTTTAAACTTATATTGTGTACTTTGTTAACCTAACAGATAAAAAAATAAAAAGGGGAAATAAGGTAACTGTTCTGCAATAGAGTATCTGCCAAATGTACCTCGTTGTTGAGTAAATCATTCAAATCATTGTAATGTAGAGACTTAAATTATGTAGGTATAGTACGATACACTTTGTGTAGTACAAAATTAAAAAGTGTGTAATAGCTTAACTAATTTTTACAGTTTTTTTTTAAATTTTATTTCTGAAAGATTCATTTATATATTATAATCGTACATTTTGTAAAAAAAAATTTTCTGCGTGGTATAAATGTAACGGGAAAAAGTCAAAATCGGGTAAACCTCAAAAAAGTATCTATAAAGTATTGAGCATTTTGATTTCCCAAAAGTATGGATTATATTAAATTTTCTACCAAAAACCTTCATTGAAGTTGATTATAACAGAGCAATTTTTTCTTATAGAAAGTGTGAAAAAAGTATAGAATTTCTAACTAAAAAATAATTAGTCAATTTTAGCAATTTTTCTAAATTTCAAATTTCTCACTTTAAACACTTAAATTTTTTTTAATTATATATTTTTGATATTTGTTAATTGAAAAATAAAAAACTTATTTAGAACTTTTTATCAACTTTTCAAGCATTTTTACTCTGCGAACAATGTTTAAATCATATTTTTATAAAAAAAAAAATTAGAAATATATATTTAAATTATAGAAAATTATTATTAAAAATTTATTTTTAGGTATTTATATGACTATTAATAGTTAATAATATTTTTTTATAACTGTTAATTTTTAAAAAACAAAAATTTGAATTTTTTGGCATAAAATAACAATTTAACGTTATTGTAACATAAAGATTGGAAAAGTAAAATTATACTCTTTAACAGTCATGTTTAAACCTTAAGTAACGATGGTTTTTTTGTTATTCATACTGACGAGTTCTCGTTCATTACATTTATTTTTTTAAACGTCTATTGTAACATTTTGTATATTTTCGTTGCAATTTATGGGAAATATTAGTAGACATTATTAACATAATATGATATGTACTGCTAAGAGTCAATTTAGGTAGTCTGTAACCGGATATATATAGATCGTTGGACCTTAAACTTTGATTTTCTGTAAGCGGATCATTCCGACACATTTTTATACACAGATAGTATTGTTTGCTGTGACTAGTGTCGATTTCGCATGTACAAAATGTACATATTGACTCAGTGTAAGTTATTTTACGTTTTATGGCTAATATACGAGTACTTATATATATATATACTGTACTACGATATCGCTATTTAATCACAAGTGAACATAGACAATTAATGCCTTTGCAGTCGTTTCCAAACATGAGTATTAAAACCACTAACCATCGAATCTTATTACGACGAGTCGAATCCGACGTCGTCGTTTGTTTCAAATTTCTGTATCCGACGAATAAATATATACTTACCTCTTAACTTGTAAATTAAATTTAAAGCAACTTAATTTCGTTTCTTCTGCGGTACACACTTCTTGCAGTGATAATGTGGCATGATGGTTCACACTACGTATGTATAATTAAAATTAAATTTAATACAATTTGATTAATACTGAAATTGAACAATACGCATATAATATTATGATAGACGGTAATCACGTATATTATACCATGTGCACGCTTCAGTGTTGTGCAATCTATGCCGTGTCCTGGAAGTTTAACGCTTGACTTAGTGAAGCTCAAATAGAGATTTTTTTATCACATTTTTTATATGAAAAAAATATGCGTGATGTAAATTTTTTTCACAATTTTAGTCATTGCAACATTCTATATATTATTATATCGTTTACGTAGTGACCTGTGTAATACGTATATACACGTATATGGTATTATAACCAGTACACATCGCTATTGTGTAAATTACAATTGCCGATCCAGAAAATAGTATTTGTAGACTATTATTCTCAAGTTGCCAATCGGGTGTATTACCTACATGGATAAACGTTCCCTGAGTTAGGTTAGGAGGTTGACCCTAGTTTTATTTTTCGTTTTTAAAGCAGATATTTACTTTTATGTATATAACACAAGCATGTTATTATTGAAACGAGTGTATTCGCATTGTAGTGCAAAAAAAAACATTTAGGTTAGTTCACAATATACTATATATTATATAGTATATATAGATATTAATATATTTTTTATTTGGTACACATAGACATAAGTAGCTTAGCAGTGAGAATTTGGTTAAAAAAAAATACATAAATATACTAATGTATGAATAAGTCAAGACAATGAAAAAAAAAAAATTATATGCTGTTATCACAAAAATGTCAATATTTGTTGTGTGTTATTTGCTGTCAGCCTATGAGTTAATATTTTTATTAAAAGTGTATGAGAAAATATTGTTTATTAAAGTTAATTATTCTACACTTCAGGTGTAGTACGCGCTCTTACATATTTATTTTATATACTTAATCTATTCTGCAATAGTCTAAAAAATTATAAAATAAACAAATCTGCTTGATCCGCATACAATGCTTACTACACTAAAATATTTTCTGTACTAGTTTTTAGTTTGGATATTGTAATTATGATTTAATTAACTATTCGATTGGCCAATGTTGGTTTAAAGTACTGATTATTTATTATTGTACTGTGAGTTATTTATATGTATTATACGATTTCTTGGTTTTGGTAGGACTAAATAATGCAAGAAATATATTATTTTTTTTTTTTAATTAAGAAAAACCTTCCTATGAATACATAGCTTTATTGATTTTTGATCGTCTTTTGATGTTCAAAAACAAGTCTCCAAATTCAGATGATACACAGATACCAAACCAAAAGTTCCTGATACCAACCTTTATAGCATCTTATACACTGTACACACACATATATATAAATATAAAGTGTAACTTGTGTAACAAAGAAGCAATAAAATCATTTATGTTTTTTAGATCGTGACATTTGAAACGACCAAAGAAGGTGGTATCGTTGAGATCATGACCGAGACAAAGAGCACTTCGCCGGCGGTGTCTGCCAGCAGTAGCTTGTTGTCAAAGGTCACGGCGGCAAAAATTGGAAGCACTGGCAGCACCACTACCGTAGTGAAAAAGACTACAACGACAACGACGACAACCACTACGTTACCGCCTAAGCCAATAAAAAAGCCAGTAAAGATAATTTCTGTGACTAGTCCACCGGAGGGCAGCAACAAGGCCGCTGAGAAAAAGCCACCATCTCGACGTCGGCCTATGCCTAAGCTCATACCGATCGTTGAACAGCAACAGCATCAGAAGAAACGCATGCCTGCAATTATCCGCATGCAACTTCCCACTACGACATCACCGCCGCCGCTTCCGCAGGATAACGCTGCCCCCGTCATTGCGGACGACTACTACAGTTTGAAAACAGGTCACAGCGCGCTCAGCGATTTCGCGTCCATCATCGATGATACGGACTGTGCATCAAGCTCGTTCAACTCGAACACCGGCTTGCCCAACTCCACCGCCAGCGGTGTCGCAACCTCTGGAACCATGGCGAATCGCCGGCAGAGTAGTAGCAGTACCGGCAGTAGTAGCACCACCTCGTCGCCGAAGAGCAAGACCGCTTCGTTTTTCGACAAACTCAAAGCCAAAGTGGACGAGACGGCGGACCTGACATGCCAGGTATGCCGTTACGAGTCCAAATGTCTTTCGGAATTCATGCGACATCAGCGGACTCATAACAGCGATATTAACGGCGGCCATGTTTCCACTGCAATCACGGATATCCTCAAAACCGATCATACCGCGACTACACAAGAGCGGACGCCAACTCCACCGCCGCCGGTGACGGCCGCCGAGCTCAAGTCGACCCGGTGTCAGCGGTGCCGGAAACGGTGCAAGACCAGTGCCGAGTTGCTCGTGCACTTGGCTACTTGCCGAGGAACAACTACCATGTCCACTGCGGCTTCAGCGATCGACAGCCCGAGCCAATCCGCCGCGGCGAAAGAAATCGTTACAGACGAAGACCGAGAAGAAACGCAACAACATCCGATGGAGAACAAGATTTTCGTGTGGAACACCGCCGCGGTGACAACACCACAGGGCGACGATGACGATGACGACTGCGAAGAACGAAATTCCGTTACCGTGACGGAAATCGGAATGCCACAAAATGTCGAACCGCCGTCGGCGGACCGAGAACCGGACGATGAGTCGGAAGACGACACCAATGATACGCCCGACAATAATAATCCATCAGACACTGAGATTTTAAAACATCAAGAACAACTGAAGCACGCAATCAGAAAGGAAGGAAAAATGTACAAAACGGTAAGATTTTTAATTGATATTGACGTGTAGTATCTTTATACATATATATATTACCATCAATAATCGATATGATGATAATTAGGAATTACTGAAAATGGCTGATTTATGTTGACTCTGACCGTTTTCCACGAATATTGATATTATTGGCTAGTTATTTAAAAAAAATGTTTAACTTAAGACAGACAACGATAGGAACAATTTAGTATCTACTTAATTTTTATGATTGTCTATTCATTGTCATTATTAACTAAGATTATTTAGTCAATAAAAAACTAAAAAGGTACATATATTTACTACTTAAAAATTATAGCAATACACAATGAAATCAGATTTTTCACAATTTTATCATTCTTACGTAAATTATGTATGGATAACTCATATTCTTACACGATAAACTGCCATGGCACTTTCCTGTACAAAGCTCGTGAGTTGAATGCACATTATGAAGTATTGGTTTAGAAACTAGGCCTCACTTTAGATTCGATGATTTTTTTCGAAGTATATACAGAGAACAAAATAGATCATAATAGTTTTCCTGGTAATATTACAATATTTTGTCTTTAATTCATAAACTGTGATTATTCAAAATATCAAATAATTCGTCGTTTGATACATAAATAGTGTACACTTTTTGAATCGTTGCTTATACAATTAATTAGTTGTTCTTTTCCATTGAATGTTAATACATCATATTTACGAATTTATCTATAATTGCTTGCACTTTTCTTCTCTTTTTTTTCTCCAAATTTTTTTTTTTAGCTAATTTCACTTATTGTAATCGTAACAAATATTATTTTTCGTTTAAAATTAATTTATTATCCCCACGTTTACTTTTCAATAAATCAGATATTTCTTTGTAAAATTTAACATATTTTATTTAAATACATTTTTTTTTTAATTATTTAACACTTACAAATAAATTATAGTGACACAATTAAGTTTAAAACGAAAAAATACTTAAACTAGGTATGTAATATTTGCACAATACGTAAGTATAATGAAGACTAGTCTATAACGATACTAAATTTAGGTTAGATGCTGTGGGTATTAAAACTATAAAAAATAATATATACTACAAAACAGGTACCTATTCTTGATGTGGATATTGAAACCATAAAAGATAAAATTGATTACAAGACGATCAGAAAATATTTTAAAATGACTAGCCAATCTATCAAATTGTAACATCAACTAATTTATCAAGTTAATCTCATAAATATAAATCCTTAATAGTTAATAATTTACACAAGCATTATATGAATTGATCGGAGCTATTGAATTGGCTTCCTAACTCAGGTAATCATCATTTTTACGTATTTAATTGGCTCCTAAGATTTATGCATTGAGTTGGTTCCCTACACATATATTTTATAAATCCATTGGTTATCAAAATTGTTTGAAAATAAATTCAACTATATGTACGTCTATACGTTAAAAATATAAAAGTTGAAAAGTACACGACTGTAATATTTTAGTGACACAGTGCCGGTTATAGTCTTGAAATTATCAATTCATTAATCCGATAACGGTCACAACTATCGACGTATTTATACAACCTATTTAGGTATAGTACAGTATTTTACTGCATTTAATAATATCAGTACTAATAAAGTACTAATAATTGCAGTGCTCGTAGTTCGTTGCAATTTTTTGTAATTCGTACCTATACATAGAATATAAAATTAATTTGGTTGAAATAATGACAAGTGAAAAGGGAGAATTAATTTTAATAGTTAATAAGTTTAAATTCAGCTACCATAAGCTTCTCCAAAATGGATTTAAACGATTCAAATGTACTAAACGAGGATGCAAAGCTTATTTAAGAATTAGTAACCAAGAAAATGTTGTATTGGAATCGTCCAATCTTAACCACAACTTTTATATTTTGAGAACCACTTTTTAAAAATTATATTGGGAGCCAATTTAATATTACCTGTCTTGGGAGCCAATTCAAGTCTTGACTAGGTACCTAACCTAATATTGGGAGCCAATTCAATGGTCACCGAATTGATTGATCAATATTATCATTACCCGAATTTTCTATATTGACGGTAATATATTTTATATATATAATGTATACGGAACAGTATCCATGGACTTATTTAAACAATTTTAATTACTAATTACCATTTCGGTTTACTGCTTGCTTAATTTTAGTCAAACTTTTTTTTGAAAAAATAATTTACTATTTCACTTTATAGTTTTTACGTTTAACAATGATTCTATAAATACAATTAGAACTAAGTCAGTCCGAAATTTTTTGTTTATAAATTTAATTGTTAATAATAAGATATTTTTTTTATGTATATTATAATAAGTAATCATAAAAAATACCTTTTTTTCATTTTTGAACCAATGGTGCCGCGGAAACTGATTTCGCATTGCCTCTATGCAATAATAAAAAATACCTATAATAATCAATTCTATTACAAAGTAAAGAATATTTATCAAAAATAACTTAAATATTATGCTCACACAATTTTAGACAAATTTTCTAAAAAAATATTTTTTTATTCGAAAACATTTACCTAAAGTTTACCCGGCATAATTGGTACAATAGTTTACATTATGTTATATTTAAGTAAATATAAGAGTTAAAAAGTATTACCTTTTGTACTTTTGAAGTATAATTTTAAAATTGATATTCCATAGTTTAAATTAATACTTAAATATAAGCTTTATAAATTCTATAGTTCCTACAAAAATATTTTTATGTTTTAATATGTTTTTAGTTATAATAAAAAATGATAATGATATAATAGTAAATAATTGTTATATTTACTAATATGAATGTATTATTATGTTTGAAATTTAAATAATTTGTTAATTGTATTAATATATCAATATCAAATTCAAAGTATAGATGGACATATCTTATATCTTACATCAAAGAAAATTTAATATTTTATTTAGAGTACATTTTGAAAAAAAGTGAATTTTAGATACTTATAAAATACGTATGCACTATAAGCCATAGATATTAATTTAATATTAGATTAAATACTGCAAAGTATTGACACTTTTAGGCCTCAAACTTCTCATATCCCATGATTTCAATCTAGTAGTATCTCTCAAGGCTCTATATTGTACCTACACTTGTACGCCCAATCTTCGATTATAAAAATATTCTATTCAATTATTTCAGTTAAATAATATGTTTGAAAGAGACCAAAGACTATTCTAACGTGATTTTTGTTTAGACGGATATACTTCCATCCCCCTAACAAACACACTAGGTACTGATAAAAATTTGGTCGACTAATTTTGAATCTCTATCTAACATCTTAACTGGCACAGTTGACCTCTCAATACTTTCAATATACCTTTTCACTTTACTTCGCTTCCACGCTATCTTAACTTCTTCGGAAAACTATTTTTGATAATCCTCCAATCCTTCAGCTTATATTCTCGATGCTGAACTCTTCCATTCTTTTACTTATTCATACCTGTTAAATTATTAATTTGTATAAAGCAAATTGTATTTATAATATATTTTTTTAGCTTGTCCCGTTCCCGTACTTACTTATGCATAAAGTATAATAAAAATATATCTATACTGCAGGTGTTCAAGTGCCCACACTGCACTTTCTGGGCGGCTACCGCTTCGCGGTTCCACGTGCACATCGTTGGCCACTTAAACCGCAAGCCGTTTGAGTGTTCGTGCTGCGCGTACCGGTCAAATTGGCGCTGGGACATTACCAAACACATCCGGCTCAAGTCAGCGAGGAAAGGTGGTGGTGAGGAGTCGATAGCGGTGGCAACCTCGCACCAGGGTGCGAAAGTACTGATGACAGACGAGACGGGCCGCCGGAATTACAGCAAGTACAATCGGTACCTGACTGTAATGGAGATGGACATAACAGATGGAGCGGATAAGGCGGCCGGTGGTGAGTGTGAGGATGGAAAGGGTGTCCGCAAGTCTGTAGGCGGCGGCATCGCCAGGAAGCGGCGGGCGCCAGCTTTTGCCCACAACAAGGGTGCTTCGTTATCGCTCAAGCAGCACCAACTCCAGTTGACGTCTTTGTCGGGTAAGGCCGCGGCAGTAGCGGGACAGTTGAAAAGGTCCAAAGCCGCCGCGATCCGGAACCAACAGCTGAACCAGCACATGACCCACAACTCCGCGGTGTCGAATTCCAGTCTGTCGTCGGCTACGGGAGGCGACAACCGCAGCAAGACCGTTTGGAAGTGCAAAAAATGCTTCTTCAGGTGAATAAAATGATTATAATATGATAAACATTTACACGCGGATGCAAGTTGGTGATATTTCTATTTCACTGCATACGTGAACATTTTTCTTTTAATTTTTTTTTCAATTCTTATTATTACTATACCCGCAAACCTATCTGAAAAAGAAACGTTGTCATCCTTCCTCCACACACAAACACATACACACACACACATCTATATCAATAAAATAGAAACGATAAAAAAGTGCTAGCTAATATCAAAAAAAAAAAAAAAAATATTTAGTACATTTGATTTCATCTACAAACTAATCTTTTGTTATAAGCCATGAGATGAGTTGACCTATTATTAATTAAAATCCACATTATCTGCGTTTATACGTCGGATTTCTTACTGTATTTTAATTTTTCTGTGATATGATAATCATTTTTAAATTATCATATTTTATATACTTATAGCATTTATGAAAATGAAGTATTGTCAAAAAACCGACATACTTATACAGATAATTTTCTTATCTTTAAGTTTAATAACAGATCAATTGAACTCAATTAATTTTAATATTAAAGTCAACTACATAAAATTGGTTTGGCTAAACGAAAAATTTATATGTTGCGTGTGGTCATAGAATAAAAACAATAACACTGATATCACTTTTATACATTTTTATTTTAATAAAAAATACAAATAGTTAACGAATAACCACAGTATGTTTATTTCACATTAGTTGTGGTTATAGTTTGGTGGCTTTAGTGATGATAACAAAAACAATGTATTATTAAATTTTTATAATTTATATTATAAAATATATTTAAAAAAAATTGTATATATATTTTATATTAATGATTTTATTTATTATTAATTGTAGTGTTAGTAGCTTAAGTGTTGAAGGGTAAAAATCTAAACAAAATTATTTATTATTATTAATTTTTTTGCTGATTTATTCCAACATTTGATCATTTATTTTATATTTCAAATATATTATTATAGTATTCTACGTACTAATTTAATCGTTAGTCATAAAATAAAAAAGTTGTGCTTATATCTAATCTGACTAAACCTTTGACAGAATTTTAATGTTGAAAATCGATTTTGATTCGTATACAAATTTCTATGTTCTAATTAAAACGATTTTTAATATTTCTTAAACTTCTTATATTGTACGGTAATGCAACAACTTAAGTATTAAGTTTTCTCTAATCTATATTCTTTTTCAGGCGATACTATCTTTTAAAAAGTTTTAAATGTCATGAAAATAGTGACCATATGATATTCATTGACATTTGACACATGTGCCTGACACGAACAAATAGCAAAATAGTGTATTGCTAAGTGCACCCACCGTTTCATTCACACGACTTATCAAATATTCAAATTAAAACCGCAACATTTAATGTTCCATTTTATATATTATATTACCTATAAATTAATTATAATATCTCTTCAGTAATAAAAACTGCTGTCTCCACTGAAAATAATTTTAAAATATTTTATAATTTATTTATGATTTTTTTTTCTTTGTTGCACATAACAGAGACTGCGATCGACTTACTGTTTTGAACCACGTCAAGGCACACTACAGAAGAGGAGAATTCGTCAGCAATTCCAGTGCCACTAGTATTAATTCGTCGCAACACAATGACGACACAACCACTATTGCCATTGACACGGCAGCCAATAACGAATTATATGTACGTACCTAACACTGGTTAAAGCTTTTAAGAGAACACGAAACATACCCATACATTTTGTGTAAAACTCGTTTCGTGTAAAAAATGACCACTTAGGTTATAGAGCCATTTACAGTTGAAAACCAAAATTTATAAAAAATACAAAAGTCGATATTTTTGTGTTTTAAATCTTTTTTTTATCAGCAATATAATAAAAGTTATTTAAGTTTGAATTATATATTAATAACGAATTTTAAAACAATAATTTATATTTGTATTAATACATTATTATATTGAAAAAAAGCAAAAACAACAAATATTGTCTTTTTTATCGTGTTTAAATTTGGGTGTTTATTTTGACTGTGATTAAGTAGTTCCTTTTAGTATGAACAATTTTTTTTTAAATAATCTTGTAATTACATAACAACTAATATCCAACAATGGAACTTACTACGATAAAACGATTTGGATGTTACTTTAAATTAAAATTTTAACATGGTATGGCTTAAAAATTTAATTTACCTCAAAACGACATCAATGATTGCCGATATCAAACCATCCTTTTCATTATTAATATTTATCTTAAACATACCAGTACATGTTTATTTATTCCGTGAAACTCTGTAGTCATTAATACAAAATTTAATTTAAATAAAAAAAAAATTTGAAGTGTGCCCATAACCTATATAATATATTAACTGAATTGGATTAACTCTTGCTTAACTCAGACCTTAAATAATTTGACCTCTTTCGAAAAATGTAAACGAACATTGGCATAAATATAATAACTGACGTGATGGATTTAAAACAAAAAAATATTTTTAACAACTTATAGTTACGAGTATATCTTCTAAATTTCAAAGATGTTTTTTGAAATATTACTATTTAGATACAAAGATCATCGCTACACAATTCAAATTACTGCAGTCATTTATCGTTTTGTTTACTTTTATAAACTAATTAATATTACGCTGCAATATTTTTATTAATAAGAATAATTGCTACTTTATTACTTGGGTTCTTATCTTTTTGTATATGACCGATAGTTGACACAATACTTACACTTGTATATATAAATTACTACTCAAAAAATACCTCATTCCAACTCGTCGTTCTAAAGGATTTCAATGCACTATTTTTTTTTCTCTTTAAGCGATGGCTGCATCATAGAAATTTATTTTTTTTATTTCTTGTATTCACGAAACTTTGTTTTTTATTGTTTTGAATAATATTAGAGTAAAATTATAGAGAATAATATTTTTAATTGTGTGACTAAATAATTTCGTCTTAAAAAAAAATGTTTATCTATTTAAATGTATATTTGTTTTTTTATTTTTTTAGTAAAATAATTACATTTTTACAAAAATAGTATGTTAATCTCTCGAAAATATTAATAGTAATTTACATTACTAAAATATTAATACATTTTTATAGCGAGTCATTTTACTCTGAGATTACTTTGAAATCATTAAAAATTATTTTGGATGAATTAATTTTGTTTATGTTGCGTGTACGGTTCTGTAAAAACAAATAGTGCACTGACATCCAATTTTGCATTTAGCGATGCCTGCAAATCATAAAAAAATAATACGATAAGTTGATTTTATATCATCATATAAATTGATGATATTAATTATTATTATACTTAAAGTTAATTTATTATTTACTACTAAAAATGATAAAATTATATAATTAGATGATAATTATTATTAAAGTCAAACCCTAGTGTATCTCGATTATATATTTTAATTTAATATAAACCGATTGAACTAGTATTAATTTTAAAAAACGATTATGAAACTTATAGGTACATGGTAGATCACCAATAAGCGAACTTTATCGAAATTTGTATAATTATATATAATGCTAAAACACGGTACTATATAATGCGACGTGATAATAACATAATCAATAACCTTTTGTCACAAAACAATTTATTTGTACTATATTTTTAATAACTATAGTATAGCGTTGTTTTCTAACATGACATCAAAACATAATTTCACATTTAACTAATATCACAATTTATCATTGAATAATAAATGCAACTATAAAATTATTATATTTATTAGTCTTAAGACTTAAAGTATTAAGTAGGTGCGTATATGTCCAGTTTTTTCTTTCAAAATTCCATAGAAATATCACACTTTTCAAAATATGTGTGTCTCGTCGCTCGAATCAGATCTTTACCAATTTAAATTCGTGTTACTTATACTATAGATAATTAATAGCACACATATTATTAAATTATAATATTATTCTACCCTACACGCGTATTTGGGTACGATTATAGTCCGCACATTTATACACCCGTTTCGGATGTATTTTTAACAGCGTCGCTTATTATTTTGTGGATAAGTTAATGTCATTATTCGTTTTCCAATTCCATTTCATTTTGTAACCCCTGACAAATTATTTTTCAAGTTTATAATTTGACTTGTGTCTCTAACTCATCAGTCTCTAGGTAATTGCAATTAACTTTTCGCGTCACTCAATAACACGAATTATCCATTAATTATCAATATGACAATAAGTCATTTGGTAATATATAATTTAACTGTAGTAAGCATGTTTGATTCTCTGGTTCCATGAACATTAGCCTAACCTATAACCGATCAATTTAAAGGTGCTTATCAAAGTTCATATATTATGTGTATGTTATATTATATAAAATAATTAAGCATTTAGAAATGTCATCCTAATATTTTCAACCATATCTCAAATCTCAATCGCACAGAAATAAGATCACAAAAAATAGTCATAATGTAATGATTATAACTTACTATCAGAAATAAAAAACTTATAAATTTGATTGAAAATTATATTTTCAATAATCTCTTTATTAACGTTATTATAATATATTAAATATATCGCTTGATAATTAACAAAAATAGTTTTTCAAAAGCTTTAAATCGAAATAGCTTTTAAAAAGTAAAACTATACGCCGCCTTCAACTACTTTAAAATATTTCACTTTTTTTCTGTGAAATAATTTCACTATCATGTTAGTGAGTATTTTATGTCATATCTCTAAAACTACTTTTTCGACATTAAACCATCCCTTCTCCTGATATTTTCTGTTTGTATTACATATTTTATATGTAATAATTTTGTTGCTAGTCCCACACGGTGAAATTCTTAAACTTATTTTTCTTCATGTACATTCGAGATTATAGATTTATGCACCGATTTTTCATACTTATAAGCGCAGTATTCTGCTTTTCTTTCGTATCGTTACTATGTCTATATCATTCTCTCTGCGTTATATTGTTTTTTGATTTTTAATTCTGTGTCATACAAAACAACATTTAACAAATCGAAATTATTCTCTACTTCTTATTTTTATCGACTGAATTTACCACCCACATCATAAATATAATTTACTTATATTTTTGATTTAAAGTACAGCGACGATTCTATTGTTGGTTTTAACATAGTATATTTTTCATCAAACTTTGGATCTTCAATTTTTAAATTAAACTTAAGTTTTTAGTGACTTATTTGAACTAGTCGTTAAAGTCAGAAGTATAAAATTTCTAGATTTTTAAAAATTATCAAAAAAAAATTGGAATATTTACTAAATACAAATATTTTATAAAATACATTTTGTTACTTGGTTATATTTTAAAAAGAAATAACCGTAGAAATATTCGTCATTTTTTTAGTTTTTTTTCTATTTTCAGTGATACAATTACTATAAAAGTCATATTGCTTAAAAATATATTAAAAGGTTTTTCAAATGTTCTTAAAGTTATTAAAAAAATTATATACTGTGACATTTTTATTTAGGCGTTTGAGAATTCAACGTCAGCCTAATTATGATAAATCAAAATTATTTTGTTATTGAAAATTCATTACATTTTTATTTAAAATACTTAAAAATTGAGTGTTTTATACAATTTTCCTTACAGTCATTCTCATTGAAACTAAAGAAAAAGTTTATTTTAAAGCCACATTCATTTTTTATGAGTAATTGAAAATATTATTTTTATATAGGTAAATTGGATATTTATTCTAAAAATAATGATACTTAATTAAAAAAATATAAATTATAGAAAATTGTAACATACTACTAATATTTTAATTGCCTTTCATTTTCAGTGAAATTTTTAAAATATTTAAATTGTTTTTAAGCTTTTTTTATACCTCAATTCACACTATTCTGTGGTATGTTAGTATTGACTTATAATTAAGGTTAATAATATTAATGTATGATGTACTGTTTTGATTACTATTATATAATAAATATGTTATTTTTGGAAAAATTAATTTAATAAAATTGCATTTATCAAATGTAATGCTTAGTTATTAAATTCAAATTTAACACGTCAATTACAACAGCTTAGTCAATAATGTAAGGTACTCTCAAGACAACTTGATATATAGCAGAATGACTTGTCCGGTTTTTAAAATTGTTAATAAATGTACAACTGTTCATAAAAAAATAATAAAATTGTTGTTTTCAACGTTAACTATTAATCTTGAAGTGTTACCATTTAATTTATATATAAGTAATAGTAATTTACCACAATGTATTTTTCATTATTTATACAAAATAAATATTCTTAATTTTACCTTTATGCATATGAATCGTTTTTTTTTTTTTTTTATTCGTTTTTTTTCTAAAAAAAAAAAATAAAAATTAATAAAAATTTTTAAAAAAAAAAAAAAAAAAAAAAAAAAAAAAAAAACAACTACAGATAACAATAAATTATAACATAACAATATTATGTACATAAAGGAAAAGAAATGTTTTTAATATATTTTCATATTATTTTATTTTAACTATCCTCAATAATCCATAAAAAAAAATATTCTGTTCTTCATTAATGCATAAACATTTTGTTAAACAAGTTTGGAAACGATCATTAGGCTAATTGGGCCTGATGAAAGATAATATTATAATATAATCAATGAGATAATTAAATGTTTTACATTTTAAATGTTATGCAGTTTTTTCTGTAATTCTTCCATGCTGGTAATAAAATATACATGCAATAATTTAGAGTTTCCAAACTTATTGATAATCTAGTATACATATTATATATTATAATATAATTTATGCTTAATTATTTGACTAAAAACCTAAGAATATGATAAAACTATTGTGTCATCGAACAATGACTATTGATACATTTATGTGTGAAATATTTAAAAATGTATTTTTATTTCTAAATCTACATTTTGATATTGTTCATAAATTAGAACTTTCAATAAAAAAACTTAAAACAACTACTTAAACTTACTCATAAAAAATTATTTTAAATTAAATACTCGTGTGAAAATATGACAGTAATAAATAATAATAATTACCTATCACTAAACTCAATATGTTATTAAATGCTATGGGATGTGATGTGTGTACTCGTCTTCTATGCATTTATGAAAACATTTTTATTACGCTTAAATATGATTGACTTAAGTATCGCGATTTATTCAATTAATAATTAATCACGTTATATTTTATATAGGCTCAAACAAAAAAATCGGCAGAATTAAAAGAAACTACAGAACAAAATTCACTAACCGTTGACCGCAGGAAAACAAAGACCCCTTCAACCGGGACCACATCCGACAATTTGTTGTTGTTGTCCACCAACCCTAAGTCGTTTATGCTTTATGGTGAGTATTATACTTATTTACATATCTCTCTTTGTTGGGTTGAATTAAAAATATTTGTTTAATTATTACGTTTTTTAAACTTAATTCAAAAGATTTAATACAAAAAGTTAAAGCTGCTTATAATAATTGCAGTTTATTTATAAGTATATAAAATATGTATCATTTTTTTTTCTTTTTAGATGACGAAAACTTTCTGTCTTGTCCGCTCTGTGACGTGACAGCTGCTAGCCCGGGCCAATTGAAGGAACATATGCAGAGCACCCATATTCCGGAAGAAACTAAATATCGGTGTGAGTACTGTCCGTTTTGGTCAGAAGAAAAAAAGTGAGCTATTTTCAATTCGAAAATCTGAATTCCGTAACATCTTTTTAATAAATATTAATATTTTACATTTTTAATATAGAGCTATGTTGGACCACATGATGTTTGCTCACGAGATGGACGATGGTAGTGTTAATACCGATGTTAATGCTACCGATGTAAATTACGGGACCGAACAACGAGACGAATCGGCTTCAAATTCAATCAACTATGATGATGAGGAAGAAATGCAGGCAGTCGATGAAAACGGTAGTAGTAACGACGCGACAACTAATATGACGATGTTCGACAACGGTAGTGATGACACAAATGCCACGGTCAATATGGAAGTGTTGTTCGATACTAATGACGAAAATGTCGTTGTAGTAGAAACGGTAGAGTGCAAACCTGATTTTGTTGATAATGACGAAGGATCAACTATTGAAACATCATCGATACCAAGCAAGAGCTCCGAAAAAAGCAGTTATAGTAGTACTGCTGCTGATGAAAAAATAACTGACAGTATGATTAGTCACGAATACGATGGAGTTGAAGAATCGGATGAAGACGAGCAACCAGAGGACGAAGAAATGATTATCAATGCAGAAGAAGTCACCGAACCTACATCAGTTAAAATCATCAAAGTAAATTACTTCCCTCTAAATAAATTAATAAATAATGAGCTTATTAAACATATAATATTTTAAACGTACTGTATTTGTAATAAAATATTTTGAAATTTCAGGCCACTTTCACACCTACACCATCAGCAGCATCGGAAGGAGATACCACAACTGTATCGCCCAAAGAAATTGAAGTATTTGAGTGTAATGAATGTTGGTACTATTCAACCAATAAAAAAGACTTATTAGCACATAAACAGCTGCACGTCGAACGGGGTGCGCTATATAATTGTACAGAATGTGTGTTTAACGTCACTAAATCAGCTATTTTGTACCATCATTATCGACACGGACACGTGATCGAAGAACCAGAGCTTCGATTTCCAGAAGATTCCGTGGTTCGAGCTGGACAAAGAGACATGAATGCAAGAAATTCTGATACCAGATTATTAGAAAATAAAACAGCCAACGCAACAGATGTGGATGAAATTACCGGACCGCCTATGGTATGGAATTACATAAAAGAAAACATCCCACCTTATACGAAAGTATTCAAGTGCCGATACTGTCCTCATACTAACCGCCGGCGACACAATACAGTTGAGCATGAACGGATGCATTCAGATCATCCGGATCATCAGCATCATAGACAAATGCAACAGCGTTTATCGGGATGTTCAGTTCCACCGTCTCCTTTACACCCGTGCAAACGATGCACTTATGTGTGCAACAATGCGGGTGTCTTGGCATCACATGTCAAGGTACATTCAATCAATTATAGGTGCTCAACAGTGGGATTTTACGATAATACCATCGTGGACACGATCCAGATACGGGCCCTTGAATACGTAATGGAGTTAGAAAAAAGTTTACTGTTAGACAAGAACACTGCCGCTAACAGCGGTATGTCACTTTCCGGTAATAAAGTTTTGTCTGATTCATCCAGCGATAATGAAAACCCCGAAGACATCACAAAGTACACAGAAATCGATGATCCTGAGCTTAAATTTTGTCCATATTGCCCGGCTCGGTACTTTTTCCGTGCTGACCTCCGATTTCACATTCGGTTTCACAGGTTCCGAGGCTGGAAAAACGCGTGCGACTGCTGTTCATTTGTAGCTAGGGCCAGAGACCATGTAAACGCACACGAGGTCGTGCACTGTGATGAATATGCACAACGTACTACCGAACTGCTCGCTTCTGGATATCCAGTTAACCCTAAATATCCACGACCTTCCGAGTATCCGGCATCGACGAGTGACGACTCGCCTCATCTTCAAAGACGACCATGGTCTCCGCCTCAATTATTAAATTATAAACATTCAAAAATACACTCATCCGAATCTGACAGCCAACGTCAAAGGCGGACTAAACGTGCTCGTTATTCCGAACCCAACAACGCCACCGTAGCGGAATCACCGTCCACCGAGTACGATGATGACAATAACAAACGACGACGTCGATCTATGACAGTAGGCGTTGCTATGAAAACAGCCAATGCAAAACCACCACCACCAGCATTACTACCCGTGTCTAAAATTATCAGTAAGTCACCACCGCCACCACCATTGCTACCAGCCTCTAAGGCTAATGCAATAAAACCTGTAAGTGGGGCCGCTGTTAAACCCGTCGCTCAAAAGTCCACCAGTGATACCGTCGTAAAGCCTGTGAAGACTACCAAAGCAAGTTACATACGGCAGTTTATGTGTACCATGTGCCCCGGTAAGTTCTTCAAATCTACAGCTTTGCAGTACCACAAAACGTTACATGGTGGTCCTGGGCGTCACCGATGCAGGTGTTGTGATTATGCAGTGAGTACTTATGGTAACTTGGTTCGGCACGAAGCCGTACATCGGGACCTACCTGCCAGGGAAAAAATTAAGAATAAGACATCGAAGAAACTGAAAGCTCTGTCAAAGTTAAAAGCCAAAGGTAAAAAAATTCCCTTGCCCGCGGTTTTATCAACGATGACACCATCATCAGATACACAGGTACAAAAATTAGACCTGGACGACGACGACGACGACGACGACGATGACGACTACGACTACGATGATGAATTTAAGATCGATCCCGAGTTCGGATCCGTCATGCTGGGTAACCCATCTTTCTACTATCCGACTAACGTAAAAAATGGCGTTATTCGATCCAAGCGGTACAAGTGCCCTAAGTGCCCGTCAGCTTTCGACAAGCGTGATCAGTACGCTATACACTTGACCCTGCACGGCGCTCAGGACAAGTACCAGTGTGATAAATGTGACTATGCGGTGCGGTACACGGCCAACTACGTGCAACACCAACGGAAACACGCACATGACGCCGAGATCCGGAAGAATCACGAACTAGCAGCCGAACGGTCGAAAATGATTAAGGAACAGGAGGAGGCAGCCAGCACGCAACGGATTCGTAAGCGATCGACCACGGAAGATAGGAAATCACAACGTATCGCCAAACCGGCGGTACCGTCAGTGGTCAAACTACAGCCGCAGGACACGACTTTCACAAACGAGATATCAGACCAGCAGACTGCATATGAGTTGAACGCCGCCTATGGGGCCACCGGAAACTTAGTCGGCGAGACGACTACGTCCCTGTTCCGGTGCGCACACTGCCCATTTGAGTGCGACATCCGATCGCAGCTAGATCGGCACAACACGCATCACTTTGCAGCTATGAACTCGTCGGGAGCCGCGTCCAAACGGTCGTGGAAACGATCGTGCAGGTTCTGCACATACCGCACGCACAGCGAAGTCGACCTGACCGAGCACACTCGCGTTCACTTCTTACGGTCGACCGGCGAACCGATGTCCACCAACGAGGAATACTCAAACGAAGATACTAACGTGGCCACCGCGCCCACGGACATTGGCGACCACGTCGAATTCCACGGCAAGCGCGTTGTGTACAGCCAACGGCGGCGCAACAACAACGCCGACAACCAGGACGTCGTGGCGGAAAACCTGGACGAAGAAGATATCGAACCATTTTTCGTGTTTAAAGACTGTGGCGACATTCGTTACCGTGCTAAAGACTCCGCAAACGGCATGACGACCGCTGCCGTTATCAAATCCCACAAGAGGTTCAGTCCCGACTGTCCGCCGCCACAAATGACCACCGATTACAACGACAACCGCACTGAAGACGACGGCCCTAAAGCACCGCCGGCTGCGTTTGTGCGGTTCTACGACAACGGCACCCGGCTCGAATTCCTGGACGACGAACCCGCCGAGTCCGCGGGTAAGAGGAAAAAAAGTAAAAAATAATGGGCACGCTGGTCACCTTTACCAAAATTTTCCTCTTCGTTTCGTGTCCGCTCGACGTTCGTTTTTCGAACGCTAGTAAAAAATATTTTCGTTTTTCAGGGCACACACTCCTATAATATTATAAATCGTACGTCGTTCGTCGTGATCGACACATTTTACGTTCTATACTAGTATTGTGTAGATTATAATTTTTTAGTTTTACCTTTTTATTTTCATTTATTTATTCTTATTATCACGTTTTTTTTTTTTTTTTTTCATTTATCGAACCTACTTTTATTAACCTAACCCAGATTATTACTTTTAATTTCTAATGTAAAATATTTTTTCATGTATAAAATTAGACATTGTGGTGTACCTTTACGCTGTACCCATCCCTATGCTTGAGTTTCTATTGACACACCTATTAGATATCAATATTATGTACGTTCTTCCCTTTCCCCACCAATTTATTTATTATTATATTCTAATTGTACATAATATATTATTGAATCAAGTACAATCGTGATTATTCACTTTTCATTTTTATTAGTTAACTAGTATAATTTTTCAGTAGTGATGTATCTTTGTTATATAATATTTATCGTAGACACATGTATCGCGTTTGGACCAAAATTATATTTATTTATGTCACCACTCTTCCTAGCTCATACTTCGTGCAGAAAAGTTATAGGTATTCAAATAGTCTTGTTATTATTATTATATTATATTTTTTGTGTTTCCATACAAACCACACTATATAACGACTATATTATGTATTTTATAGATAATATTAAACGTTTATTTTCGAGTATTTTGTTTAGTTTTTTTTTTCTTCACTTTATAATGTATAAACAATGATTATATTTAGACGATCGTTTTATCTTATGCGCTGCACGTGTACCTAAACTGTAAAAGTGACATCTGCTGCTGTATACGTGTATTATTTTATTTTTCATCGGTTAATCAAAAAAATAAACTATATGTGTATGTATTTATTAAATGTATTTATTTAAATTATTTATGTGACGACGACGAATAAAAGGGATTAATGTATTAAAATAGCATTTGAATTATTTTTAATAGTTTTGTCGATTTTAAATATGTTTTTGTTTAAATGACTACGACGCCTGTAATTACTGAAGTCTAAAAAATGTTTTAATAAAATATAATAATTTGAAATGGCTATAAACTTGTTAAGAAATAAAAATCTATTGTTATGTTTTTCTAATTAAGTATGATAATCAATGACGATACGAGTAAACCATGATTACTAAAAAATAATCGGGGTAGCTACCGGACGTACTTAATGATTTGGTGATTTTGAAATTTTTTATATCATTTTCATTATATAATAAAAATTTCAAAATATTTTAACTCTTTTTGAGTTATTTATCAATTTTTTTTTCTCATTTTTAAATAAAAAATTATTCGCTGGGTCAAAACACTTGAAATCGAATACAAAAAAGTAGTTATTATGTCTATATATAAAAAAATATTAATAATACAATTTACTTGTATGTGTATTTAAAGTTCAAATTTTGACAAGATTATCTAAAATAAAGAAAATATACAAACTACGAGTATTGTATTTTATGTGTTTAAATTCGTTTCTGAGCGGAGATGGTCTAGCAATTTATGAAAATCATCTATTTTATTTAATATTTTGTTGGTTGATTCAATTTTTCCGAAAATATTGTAATTATTCAATTATTATATTATTATTACTAGGGTTGAGATTTGATGCTCTTAAAAATTTTTAAAATGATCTAAAAAAAATGCAAAAAATGCATTTAAATTATATTTATTATTGCTTTAAAATTGGAAAAAAATTTAAAATGATACTACAGTAGTGTATTTTTTTATTTTTTTAATAGTATTGTTTATTGTTACTTGTTTAGTTCTATTGTACTTCTGTTTTTTTTAATCATTCATTCTAAAATAATAATTTAAAAAAAAAAATTATTATCGACGATAGTTTTTCGTGCTGTTAGTGCCGTCGGCAGTTAGTCAAAAGTCTCTTGTTAATCGTAAATTTTTAACAATTTTTATACTTACTGACCAACGTTTCAAAACACCAAAAAAAAGATACCTTTGCATCAAAATCTCAGCTCTAATTATTATTTATTAACTTATGAGTTGATAATCATAGGCGTGCAGAGTGTGCCTAGGCACGCCCTGTGAGTTTCATGGGCTGAAGTACCCAATGTCTCAATCAAATTGCAATTAAATATACCTCGACTACAAAAATCAATTTTAAGTTATTTTTTTAAAGCAAATTTAAAAAATTAGGATAAAATACTGTGGTACACTATTGTTGAAAGCCTGTATACAGTTTAACTTGTATTATACTATTAAAAATTGTTTTGAATTAATTGTAATTGTGTATTGAGAAACCAATTGTTCAATTTACAAAGTAAAACTTGTGATCATCTATTATCGATAATATTCATTTATTTTTT